ATATTTTTCGGGTATAATTTTATTCGAAGAATTTATTCTAATAAAATTGTATTCGAACATTATCGAACTCTATAGTACAATACACTGCACTATAGTATATTATTATATATAATAATATAATAATAATATAATTATATAATAATTATATTATATTATATAGTATAATACAGTATAATGCAGTATAATAGTGTATAATACAGTATAATACAGTATAATGCAGTATAATAGTGCATAATACAGTATAAGAAAGTATAATATAGTATAGTACACTGTAATATCTTTTCAATATTAAAACTGTCTATTTTCCCGCAGCTGCTGGCTATCAATTTACGAGACCGTAATTTGGTCTCTGATCGGTCCAGTCTGCCTGGCAGTATTTGTCAACTTCTGTATCCTCGTCATGTCCATAAGGGCGGCTTTCACCNCCAGACACGTCCGCGTTTTTGTCGTCACCCGCACATTTTGGTCCTTCTATCTCATTTCCAAAGTACAATAATTACATGGCGGACCCGAACAGATTCGATCCGTATTCGAAGATACGAGTACCACTCAGCGTTCTGGGGATCAAGCCTTTGGCGCAGGGAGAATTGAATGTGAAGAACAGTTTGGTTAATCGGAAGGCTGTGCTCAGTTATGTGCAATATAAACAATTAGGCGCCCTTTTGCCCCAAAGGTGATCTATTTAAATAGTCTGTAAGAATCGAATGGAAAGAAAAACTAATCGCAATACTTTCGTATGAATTTTTCTACAGATTCGACGACTCAGTGGCTGTAAGATGGGGTGTCGAAGTAGCTGTTGGCTCGCCGGTTATAACAGTATCCGTGTTAGTTCCCACCGACGACGGCTATGAATCCGTGACCGGTATACCTCTGCAGACACCGGTGCAGATCAGTCTGTGGCTCAGCGAGAAGGACGATTTTAAGACTAGAACTAATCCACAGTGCGTGCACTGGAGCACAGCGAGAGGGTAAAACACTCATACTTTCTAATAGAAGATCATGATAACGACCGAATTTCTTAATTTTAATTGCTTCGGAAATCTACAGGGCCGGTGAATGGAGCCGACTGGGCTGTACAACGGAAGTGGAGGACGACTCCCTCTCCTTTGGCACGATCGTGAACTGCTCCTGCCTGCAATTATCCACTTTCGCGATACTAACCGACGTCCTCGACCTGGAATACGTTCCTGAGCCATCCCTGTTGGAGGACGTGACCAGTTACAGTGCATTCATGCTCGCGTTGCCTTTGTTACTGTCTGCCTTGCTTATTCTATCTCTGATAAGAGGCGGCGGCACTAATTCGAACAACATCCACAAGAATCTAGTGATGTGCGTGTTCTTCGCCGAGGTACTGTACCTGATAGCGCTCAAGGCCAGGAGTCCTCTAGTCTCTAACGAGTTCCCGTGCAAACTCACTGCGATTGGTCTACACTATGCCTGGTTGAGCACGTTCTCTTGGACTCTAGTAGACTCCATTCATTTGTATCGTATGCTCACTGAGATGAGGGATGTTAACCATGGGCAGATGAGGTTTTATTACACCATGGGGTATGGCGCGCCAGCCATCATCGTAGGACTGACGATTGGTGTTAGAGCTGATCAGTATGGAAACTTCTACTTGTACGTACATTGTTTGATACTATTTACAATATAGTACAGCAGAGGTGGGCATTTCGAATAAATTCTTCGCATGAAATTTTATTCAAGAAATAATATTTTGAACATAATAAGTAAAATATTTACTGAAATAATGTAAAGAACAAGCAAGGAGTCCTTTTATAACAATTTTGGTTTATTTAATAAATTTCGAATAAAGTTTTATTGGAAATATTTCTTGCATAAAATTTTATTCGAAGAATTTATTTGAAATATTACTCGAATAAAATTTTATTCGAAGAATTTATGCGTAATATCTTTCGAGTATAATTATATTCGAAGAATTTATGCGTAATATTTTTCGG